ACTCTGTATCTGAAACCATGTATGAAAGTAAAGTAATTTCAAAATGAAATGATTAAACACAGCCACACATCTCCCATAAGTATACACAGGGGGAAAAGTTCTTTGTTGTTTCAGAATCATTGAATATGGTTTCAAAAACACAGGCAATGTCAATGAAAATAGACAAATTGGTTTCTGTCCAACTAACAGGGTACTTCACAACAGGATATAGTTAAAAAAATTCAGTGTAAAGAAAGAGAAGTTAACAGCAAATAGTTACATGAAAAACCTACACCTAAATACAAAGAAAAGAAAATGATGTTAAAATGTGCAGAGAAACACAACAGACATTTTTCAAAGGAAACTACATACTGCCAAAGGGTAAAGTAAGTTTCTATGTCACCATTATCTCATAATTGCGAATCAGAGTCAGGATGAAATTGAACCCCGTAGCTGTTAATGAAATGATAACATTGGTAAGCAGACGGGTGTCAGAGAACACATGGAAAAAAGGAAATTCTCCACATTGTTGAGAATGTATATTTTTCCAGTCATCACAGAAGCATTGTATGGACTCATTACAAAAAATTCTTGGCACTAATATGATGTGTCTAAAAATCTAACTAGCACAACAAATGATTTGAAGTCTGGAAAATAACCACATTATCATATTAATTCTGATCTTATTCATTAACAAGGATATGAAAACGGCAAAAATGTCTATCAATAGATGAATGTTTAAAGCAAATGACACTGTCCCTCCCCATTCCCTTCCCTTGTGCTTTCTCTCTCTCCCCCTCCCTCACATTTTCCCACATATCCACAAACAACCACATATATGTGACCAATCAAACACAAATATACAAACTTATCACTTGGTGGAGAATGTTAATAAAACTGTAAGGAAGAAATATTTTCAATGAAATAATTTATGTAAAAGCATATCTTTACATGAAAGTTGAGAGTTCAACTGGATCACATTATACAGAGCATTTTTCTTCAAGCTGTCACACAGTCAAACTGAAATCTATAAGGAAAAGATGGATATGCTGTCTTTCATATATTTTTGTTTTCTTAGATTGTTTAGTATAAAACTTGAATTTTTGAAGATGCTTGAGAATTTTTGATGTGAAGAAACTTGGAGATATGTTCAGCACATCAACATGTTACAGTCAGTAGGTGGGGAAGCAGTGGAAGCCCCTCAGTAGAAGCCATAGGACCAGTACCTTCCACAGTCCAATGGGTGGTAGCACCTGTAGCCATTGCCACCATAGAGACCACAGCCACCATAGCCACCATAGCCATAGCCATAGCCACAGCCTAGGCCACCATAGCCATAGCCCAGGCCTCCATAGTAGCTGCCATAGTAACACACGGTGTCAGGAATGGACTGTTCAGTTGAGGACCAGCAGTAGGTTCTTGAGTCTGGATTTCTCCATCTACAAAGGGCCTTTTATACATGTAAGTGGAACTCAGGGAAATGACAGGCATTGCAGCATCAACATCTCACCTCTGTGCTTCAGAAAACATCACAAGTGGAGTGATTTACTGGACAAACAAAGCTGCATAACTGAGATAATTGTGCTCCTGTAACAGGATGCCATGGCCGCATCATGTGGAGTACACATGATGGAGTACACAATTTCAGCCACCTGATATTTGACAAAAGTGCCAAGAACATACAATGGAGGAAAGACAGCATCTTCAACAAATGGTGCTGGCAAAACTGGATCTCTACCTGTAGAAGAATGAAACTAGATCCTTATCTTTCACCTTGCACAAAAGTCAACTCCAAATGGATCAAAGACCTCAATGTGAAACTGGAAACCCTGA